TTAGGATTGCTAATTTCTCCTCTTTTTGTGACTTATTTGGCGATCGGATTTGATCGATAAAGACTACCAATAGCTGTTTAGAGTGAGATGGACTCTATTATGTCTAATGAAACTTGGGAGGTGGTTGATCGTCATTATGGGTGCAAACCTGTAGTATGTAATTGGGTGTTCAAGAAAAAGCTTAGGCCTAATGGTACTATTGAGAAGTACAAGGCGAGGCTTGTAGCAAAGGGCTATACGCAGAAAGAAGGTGAGGATTATTTTGATACTTACTCACCAGTTGCTCGTTTGATGACCATATGCGTGCTGCTATCCTTGGCTGCCTGACATGGTCTTCTCGTTCATCAGATGGATGTTAAGACAACTTTCTTGAATAGAGAGCTTGAGAAAGAGATCTACATGGATTAGTCTGATGGATTTGTAGCAAAAGGTCAAGAGGGTAAGGTTTTTAAATTATTAAAATCCTTGTATGGCCTAAAGTAAGCTCCTAAGCAGTGGCATGAGAAGTTTGACAAAACTTTGACATCAGCCGGCTTTGCAGTGAATGAAGCTGATAAATGTGTCTATTATCGGTATGGTGGGGGAGAATATGTAATTTTGTGCTTGTATGTGGATGATATTTTAATCTTTCAAAATAATATTAATGTTTTCAAAGAAGTGAAAGATTTTCTATCTAATAATTTTGAAATGAAAGACTTAGGTGAGGCTGATGTTATTCTTAACATAAAGCTGCTGAGAGAAGGAAATGGTGGGGTAACACTTGTGCAATCCCACTACATGGAAAATGTGTTGAATCGCTTTGGATATAGTGATTGCACGCTTTGCTCCAACTCCTTATGACCCAAGTGTGCTATTAAGAAAAAAAATCGAAGAATAGCACGGGGTCAATTGAGATATTCTCAAATTATTGGCTCACTTATGTATTTGGCTAGTGCAACAAGGCTTGATATCTCATTTGCTGTGAGCAAACTTAGCCGATTTGTTTCAAATCCGGGAGATACACATTGGCATGCTCTTGAGAGGGTGTTACGCTACCTGAAGGGAACATGAGCTATGGCATTCACTATACCGGGTACCCGAGGGTACTGGAGGGTTATTGTGATGCTAACTGGATATCTGATGCTGATGAGCTGTATGCCACAAGCGGATACGTGTTCTTGCTTGGAGGTGGCGTTGTTTCCTAGAAGTCTTGCAAGCAGACCATTTTAATGAAGTCTACAATGGAAGCAGAACTCACAGCATTAGACACCGCTGGCGCTAAGGCCGAGTGGCTTTGTGAACTCCTAATGGATTTACTAGGTAGTTGAAAAACTAATACCGGCCATTTCCATGAACTGTGATAACCAAACGGTGATAATCAAAGTGAACAGTTCTCGGGACAACATGAAGTCTACAAGGCATGTGAAAAGACGGTTAAAATCTGTCAGAAAACTGAGAAACTCTGGAGTAATTGCATTGGACTATGTCCATACATCAAAGAATCTGGCAGATCAGTTTACAAAGGGTCTGTCATGTAATGTGATAGGAGGTGCATCGAGGGAGTTGGGCTTGAGACCCACATGAAGTCATTCCATAGTGGTAAGCTGTCCTATGTGATCAGAGATCCCGTGAAGTAGGATGGTGAAACAAGCTAGTGGTTGATTGAGGGAGAGACCCTTATGCTAAGGTCCGAATCGTTTGAGATGCACTGTTTCTCCAATGCTGTAAGGCAGGATGGTTAATTCCTTAATGTGATCCGAGTGACTTATTTAAGCAGGGATGTTGTCCTACGGAACATTCTAGAAGGAACACACCTATATGAGTTTGATTGCTAGTCACAATCTATAAGATGTGGATAATCTCTAGATACTCATGAAAGGCCTTGAATTGTGACTTATATACTTCAAATAGAGAGGATGCTTGTTGCAGCCTAGTATCAGATAAGAACTTTAGGGAGACTCACCTCACACAAAACTGTCAATTCAAGGCATAGTCCATTGTTTAGTTGTGGCTGAGTGTAACTGCTGCTCTAGATATATGTTCAACTTAACAGTCTCCGTCGAAACTCTGGTATATCAAAGAAATGTGGTTTTGAGATAATTTTACTATGAACCCTAGAGTTTGGTCGGGATTGTTGGATATATTATGGGCTTGGCCCATATAATATTTAATAAATCAAATAAACTTTATGACCCGTAATAATGCGTGATATATGGTTTAATAGCGTACAGGATTTTGACATGACGTTGACTCGATTTATATGGTTGGACATTGTCTATCTATATTGAGAAGCTGAGAAAATGACGTGGGTGTGCGGCTGGGCCGTGGCGTGGCATGGCGAGCGAGCGGACGGGATGGGAGTGGTTTTCCTACTCAATCCACATAATTACGGGAGTTACTCTCTTTTATGTTGGAGGCGGCTTCATTGCGGGAGTTTTCGTCTGTTACCGCCGTCTCCGTCCTTCTGCGTCTGCACTCTGTCTCCTGATCTCCTCTAGAGCCTCTTCGCTTCCCCACCACGAGCATATATTCCGAGCTCCTTCGTCAGTCCTTTCTCTTGGCTTCCACCACATATTTAGCTGCTCTTTGGTTCTCCCCATCCCGGTTCCAGCGCGCACTGGAACTGGGAGAGTAGGGCCTCCGGAACGCTTGCCGTCTTTGTGTTCACCTGCTCGGGGAAGGGCGGCAATGACGTTTTTGGAGAGTGTTGCTGGCGGCACGACTACTCGCTACGTCTACGTCCTCTTCTTCCCAGTGTCGGCGCACGTTGAAGATCCTCCGCTGATCGGCACTGCTTCCCATCTGTACTGCAACGAGTGGGATGACTACACCGACAAGCACTATGTCGTCGAGTGCATCCGGCTCTACCGCTGGGTATGTCTCTGGAACGAATCTTCTAAGGTCTTGGCTGTCAATCCTTAGTTTGAGTATCATCTACATGCTCGTCACGTTTAAGACACACAAGCACATTTATAATGTCACCAACATGATCATTTTGTTTAATATCTTTTTTTGGATTAAATTGCTGCTAAAATTGTCTAATATTCTAAGAAACTATATACCGAAGACGTGTTTTCTATCTGCTATATGTGTTTCTTGGATACATGTTTGGGTGAAGACCATATCACAGATGCACACCTATTGTTTCGTCTCTGATGTGGTGTCTTGTTTGTGCTATTCTCGCATAGTGTTGGTTTTTTGTTGTCGTTAATTGCATAACATACTAATACATTTTCTTTGAAGTTGACAATAAACCAAAACACTGCACGTCGTCGTCGCAAAGAAGACATGCAAAATAGAGTTTAAAATTCGAAGTATACGACGTAGTACCTTGTGTACACGGACCTCGTGTAACACGTACAGAATTGAATACAGGGCACTGGCCACATGCAAGCACCACCACATATGCGGGCCTACACGTACGGAAATCTAGTTTTGGATCCATACCGCCAAGAAAGGCCACGTGGGCTTACGTGTGGGGACCACGATGTATCATGCAAGTGTGATGTCCACGCTTGCCCTAGCTTAGCTAGCCTTCTGGAACCTGCTCCTGCCGGTTGGGGAGAGAGAACAACGGTGAAATGATATTCTTACCCTTGTCGCTTTCTTCTTCCTCTCCCTTTCTCTTTTTTTCTGTTTCCTGTCCCCGCCACACTCTCTGCCTTTCGCACGACGGCACGCGCGGAGCCATCGGCTGCGAAGTCCGCGAGCGCGGGCGCTGCGCCCTCGCGCACCGCGCGATGGCGGTTCTCCGGCAGCTTGCAAAGCTCGAAGAGCGCCGTGGTAGCCTCGCCGCGCTCCCGCGGGCCGCCACGGTGGAGGAGCCCCATCAACGCCGGGTGGCCGCGAGGCCGCCGCTGCTGACGCTGGCCAAGTCCGGCGCCGCCGCGACGGAGGAACCTCGTCAGCCCCGTCAGCGTCGGGACACCACGGCGGAGAGCGCATCCACTGCGGCGTCCACCACGAGCCCCATGCGCGCGTCGTCGCCGTCCAGGCTGAGGATGTCGTCGTCGTAGACCGGCTTGTCGAACACCGGCATGGACGAGTGCTTCGGCTTCGGCGGCGGCGCGCGGTGGAAGCGACGGGTCCTTGAACGAGTCAAAGATGTTGTCGAGCGACAGCGACGGCGTGGCCTTGGGCGGCTGCGGCGGGGCGGACCCGAAGAGCTCGTCGTAGGAGGGCGTGGACGGGGCGGCGGCCGCGGAGGTAGACCCCGCGACGGATCTAGTATTGGTCCAGGCGGATCCAGAGGGCCCCGAGGAGCGCGCGGCCTTCCCCTGCGGGCGGAGGCTGAAGTCACGGGCCAGCAGGCCCTGGAAGTCGTCCATGGCGGGCGCGGGCGGGCACACGGATCGACGGAAACGCCGCTCGCTCACTCGCGCAGCAGGAGCAGCGCCTACGCCGCCTGCCGAACGGCGCGCGCGGACAAGGGCGCGAGCAGGCGGGGCAGATCTTGGCAGGAGCACGGACCCTCGCCGGGCGGGGGGGGGGACGCAAGGCGTGAGGCGGCGATAGGAGGAATGGGGTGCGGGGCCCGACGTCGGTGGGGTCGCCGGAGTGGAGTCGTCGCCGACGATGCCAGAGCGGCGAACAGGAGCGGGCGAGTGAGAGAGAGAGAGGAGAGCAGAAAGTGGAGGCGATGGGGGATATCATATCATTGCTGCCTCGTGTGGTCTCCTTCCATCTTGTGGGCCCTAGAGAAAAGTGAGAGGGGAAGAAGAAAGCCGCAGGGGCAATAATGTCATTTCACCGCTGATCTCTCTCCTCAACCGGCTACAACCGGTCCGCGTTGTTCTGTGGCCTAATTTCACCGAACCAGAGTATATTCTGACAAAATGCTCCAAAGTGGATGTTTGTCAGCAAAGGACGGTCACTTTTGAATGTGAACAGACAATTGTCGCTATAAATAAACAAGCAAGTGAGCTGCGAGCTGAAGAAATATTATGAGCAGCTGCAGCAGTCAAGCACTCGACCTCACACACACTAGCAGCTAGAGGCTACAGCTCTCCTGGGTCCTGGCGATGGCGCTAGCAGTAGGGCGGGAGGAGGAGCTCCTGGCGCAGCTCCGCGCGCTACTGTTTTTGCCTTCCCCGGCGCCGGCGCCGGCGACACCAGCGGCTCCGGTTAAGGTGGAGTCCGCCGCTGGACCGCTACCTGCCACCATCATGGGAAGTGGGGGCGGACGCGGACGCGGACCTGCTGCCGTGTCATCGGCTACGACCACCACCAACAACGCGTCGTCGTGTGGCGGCGGCGGGAGACGGCGCCGGCGACTGGGGAGCAAGAGAGACCGGGACGACGAGGGCAAAGCCAAGGACGAACAGCACGATGAGGACGAGCCTGCAGCTGCACAGCCTCATTATTCTCCTCCCTGTAAAAGAAGGTGCGGTAGCTAGTTGCTACTGGCGTGGTCCATGCAACCAACCAATAATTCCTCCGATAGTCCGATCTCGATCTCGATGATGCATGACTGATGGCGGTGCTGCTGACTGCAGGAAGAAGAAGCAGCAGAGCAGCAAGTCTCTTGTGACATCAGTGCCCGATTTCGATGGGTATCAATGGAGGAAGTACGGGCAGAAGCAGATCGAAGGTGCCATGTACCCCAGGTAATTAATACTCTATCTATTCATCTCCTCTAGCTAAACCGATCATCACTACATACGTAGTTGCCAGATTTCTATGATTCAGTTAGTCTGTAAGTACCTTCTTCTTACTTATCGTCCAATGAACAATAAGGCCTGTTCGGTTAGTTCGGATTAATTGCGGCCAAGAATTATTCCCGTTGATCAATATTATACACATTAGACAATCTTTCTGGCCAGAAATCGTTTCAGGTCTTCGTTCCGATGTAACCGAACAGGCCCTAAACAGGAGTACTTGTTTATACTCCAGTAGCTTGTTCGTCAAAGAAAAAAAAGGTTTTGAGAATAATCTCGATAGAGAATGGTGTTGTTGTCCAATCAGAAAAGGAGAGATGCATGGAACGGAAAAAGAGAGTTATAGCTGCCCCCTACCATATAAAAGATGCCATTTTTTACTTTCCATATATATCGAGACAATATAATTCCAAGAAAAATACTTTCTGCGTCTGGGACAGTGACACTAGCTGCAAGGTGCAAGCTGCTAGTGGATGCCTGATGCTGCTGTCCCTTCGTCAGTTTGGGTCCATCCGTCCGTCCCCTGCTAGTGATAGCTAACCAAATATGACTCTGCCATCGTGATACACGTTGTGCCTTGTCGCATGCAATTAAGGGCACCATTGACCCATCGATCGAGACAGTTTTATATGCTTGTAAAACTGCATACTGTATTTTTTAGGGAATTATCTCCAAATTCTTAACACAGTACTCTTTTTTTATATATAAAAAAGCAAAACTTTCAGTGCACGCACTGAGTTACTTGGCGCCCATATATCTCTTATATCCATGCAGGAGTTACTACAGGTGTACACGGAGCGCCGAGCAAGGCTGCGCGGCCAAACGGACGGTGCAGCGCAACGACGACGGCGGCGGCGGTAGCGCCGCCGCCGCCGCCGTCCCAGAGTACACAGTGGTGTACGTGGCGGAGCACACCTGCACGGCCAACGACTCCCTGGAGGCGCTGGTCATCCTCGAAACCACCACAGTCGTCGTCCCTGCTGCTACTAGAACCGCCACCAAAAAACCTCAACCTCAAGATGACGACAACACCTACTACACCGGTTGCATGGTTCCGACAACGTCAGCTGGCTCTTGTTCCACCACGACGACCGCCACCCCCAGCATCACCACCGGGACTAAATCTCCGGGGATCTCCGTCGACGACATCACCTGCTGGAGCAGCACCAGCGGCGCTAGCAGCAATGATTATAAGTACGCCGACGACTACTACTGTGGCTGGGCATCGTCGTCGTTGCAGGAGATGGAGGACTTGACCGGACCGATCCGGTCACCGGTGCACGTGCCAGCGCCTGGTTGGACCGTTGACCAGCTCCTGCTTCAGCTCGTTAATGATCCTCTTTGCCATTTCTGAGCTCTGCTGCTTTAATTTGTTTCCGTAGCTAGGTTGTTGTTGAGATGGATGTGAACAGTTTAACTGTACTGTGTTCTAGGCGCTGTTTGGTTGAATGGCTGGCCAGGCATTGTCTTCTATGGCATTGAGCAGTCAGTGATAGCGTCTACTCGATTTGATAGGGTTTTGTAAATGCCCAGCTTATACGATTATGTATAGAGGCTTTTTATAGGGTCCTTGAGGCACCAAGAGGGGCCTCGTGAATGTCCTGTTTATTTTAACTTGCTGACAGATATCTGCAAGTTGGTGGAAAACTGAAAATAGATTACTACGGCCTCCATTCTAAATTGTATGTTGTTCTAGCTTTCCTAGACATATAGAAATAATGTATATCTAAATGCATAGCAAAAGCAATAATAATATACCTAGAAAAGCTAGGATGATTTACAAATTGGAACAGAGAGAGTAGATTGTCATAATTTGGCACATGAACATCACTCCATTAGTTCCAAATTATGTCACTTTTATAGTTTTGCGCTAAGTGAGTTTCTCTAATTTTGGTCAGATTTTTTAAAAATATTCTGCCATCCATATACAAGTTCGTAATAAATACTTGATCTCATTTGATATGGAGGATGCTCTAAAACAATGGCTCCTCTCTTGCATTTTCTAGAGAACACCTACAACCACTACTACATAAACCTTTTGTAGGGGCGGCTCTAGGTGATTTGTAGGGGCGGTTTGGCCAGCCGCCCCTACCAAAGCGTGGCTACAAATTATGTATTTGTAGGGGCAGCTGATGTCTACAGTCATCCCTATAAATCGATTTGTAGGGACGGCTGTAGTACCAGCCGCCCCTATAATACCTGTTTGTAGGGACGGTTCAGTCTAGAACCGCCGCTACAGTACATTTTCCGCAAAAAAATGAAATTTACAATTCAAATTCGGCCAGACCATATATATATATATATAGTTCGAGATCAACTAATCAATCTATCACGCGCGCGGGCATCTCCTTCGCCCGAGGCGTGTCCCCCCCTCCCCCGCGCCAATAGAGACCACGCACGGCGCCTGCGACGTGAGAGGAAAGGAAAGCGCAAGCAAAAGGGCATCAGGACAGCAGGGAAGGGCATGGCATGCGCGCATCAGGACGGCAGGGAGCACAGCTAGCCGACATGTATCTTGCTCCAAAGTACAAGTCCAAGAGTATTATATAAACTACAATTACAAGTCCAATTCACAAGAATATATGCAATCCATCATTATATAGACATAATTCACAAGGTAAGACCAATGTCAAATTCCATACACATTGTTATCAACGGCCTAGAGCTAGCCTTTCAGTCTTACGAAGGTGTTGGTATTGAGGATTTCTACCTAAGTCAGAATCTCGGTCATGGTAGGTGCCTTTGACGTGTACAATCTGGTCCAATATGAAGTTGCAAAGGTCGCCGACAAGCTCTAAGAGTTGGTCATCCTTGTATGGGTCTCTTTTCATTTCTTTCTCTTTTTTCCACTACAAGAGAACAAGTTTCGGTTTAGTATTTCATATAATGTGCGAAGTTTTTATACTACGGGTGAAGAGGTTCAAACTTATCCTTAAGGGGTGTCTCCTGTAGGCACCGGTGTTACTTATCATAGAACATACATAGTATCCACAATGTACACTCCTAGGCTTCTGCTTGGGGGCACTGTGTGTTTTGCATATGGAAATGTTAAGTAATGCTTTTGACAGCCATGTAATGGAGTACTGAAGAAGTAAGTTACACTTACCGCACATAGTGTTTTTATAGCCAGTCTTTCCTTCCTTGCTGGATCATGCCTTCCGTGATGTTTAGTGACATAGAATCTAAGTGCCCTGTTTGAATTATTTTAGCAAATACAACTTGTTAGTATCTAAAAGTAAATATTACAAGTATGTATAAAAACATATAAGCTAATGAGGATTGTCAATATGTATACGTCTTGAGAATCAATATGAAGTCTTTGTATGTCACCGGGTCTTTATTTATTGAATCAAAGACCCATGCCATGCTCCTCCCGACATCGACGCCAATACAAATCTAGTGGTTGCTGCATGGATTTAATCATAGAACTAGATAAGCTCTTTTGCATCGAATAAAATATATTGAACAAAGCTTTAAGTATAGAGTTGAACTTACTCGAAGTTGTATGGTAGCCATATAGTAGAGTGCTATTGGAGATTTTTAAAAGCCAGGGCAATGTATGCCGAAAACTTAAGAGACTCTTGCCTTAGTTTCTTCGTGCGGATGTCCTCTTTCTCCCGAAGGGTCTTTCCAGCAGCTAGCTCTTTGTCATCCAGTTTTCACTGTCTAGGGTAATTAAAATTTGTTTGTGCTATAGCTTGAGGGTCTATATACCCGGCTTTCACACTTGGTATTTGTTTTACAATGTGCACTTGCATTCTACAAATCACAGTGTGGGTTAGTTACAACAAAATCCAAAGATTACATTCATATCATATCGGGAGGACAAGGACTTACAAGCACCACGTGAGAATTATAATCATTTCCATTGCTCCGAGGTGAAAGCATGTCTGCATGTCATTGAAGTCAAAGATAATTTTCTCGGTTGGGCTTCCAAATGTGCCAGTGGGGAAGCATGCTTGTACAAGGTCTATGCTCATTAGGAGAACAGGCAAGTACCAATCATGGAACCTTCTCATTCCAAGTGGTAGGCGCTGGATGTCCTGGTTTGGTAGGAAGGGCTTGCCTCTTTCATATGTTTTTGGGCAATCCTTTGACCATTTGATGGCATCAACATTTCGATACTGCTTTGCTGTTTGGTGGAGTTTGCTAGTGACAGCCTCCTCAGAAGCCCGTGATGGGAATTTTTAACTTGGTTCTCAAGCTTGAACTGGTCATGGGAATACCACTTGTGCACCAACGAGACGTCTTTCATTGGAACATAAATTGGTCTTATAGTGATTGGAGCTTCTTTCGAAATTCCCATTCAGGCACGTCGTCATCTTTTTGTGCATCACCTTCTTCAGGAGACACTCGTTGTTCATGTATCGGTTGTGCTTGTTGAGAAGACTGTGGCATCTCATTATGCACTTGCTCGGTATGAGTTGGAGAAGGTTGTGGCTTATCAGGCACATGCTCGCTAGGAGGCGGGGAAGAATGTGGCATCTCAGGAATGTGGTGGTCACGAGATGGTGAAAATATCTCCCTATCCACAACGACTCGCTCCAAATTTGGGAGAGGGGGAGGCGATGAAGAAGCAGTCAATATAATGTCCCGTTTGTGCCAGAGGATGAACTGCCCCATTATGTCTCCGAGTAACACCAGCCCCTCGGGAGTTGCGTAGTCTATCCTCCACTACATGAACTTGGGCTTCACGGTATGCACCTCGACCCTAGTGTAGTCTGGCGGTATCTTATTATTGTGGTGTAAGCCACTAGGAGGATGTGCCACACCCGTTGCCACCTCCATCACAATTAAAATATCAAGATGCCTAAGAGGGGGGGGTGAATTGGGCTAATTCTAAAATTCTTTGCAATAATTAAACCCTACACTTAGCCCACTTCGCCTCTTGTGCCTAGAATGTGATTCTAATGATCTACCGCACAAAAGTTTAGCACCCTAAGTTCCAATCCTACTCTAGCATTGCAATTCTAAGAATGTAAAGACAAGAATTGAATTGCTCAAAAGTAAATGCTCAAAGTAAAGAGAGGAGAAGGAACGCGGTGATGTTTTGCTGAGGTATTGGAGAGTCGCCACTCCCCACTAGTTCTCGTTGGAGCACCCGCGTAAGGGTGTAGCTCCCCCTTGATCCGCGCAAGGATCAAGTGCTCTCTACAAGTTGATTATTCGATACTCCGTCGTGGTGAATCACCCACAACTGCTCATAACTTGAGTTGGGTTATCCACAAGCTCCGCCGGATGATCACCAAACTCCCAATCACCACCAAGCCGTCTAGGTGATGGTGATCACTAAGAGTAATAAGCATGAACTCTCACTTAGACCACAACAAGCCTAATGAGAAGGGTGGATGCACACTTGCTACTCTCCATACACTAATGAGGCCTTAATCTTGGATTCTCAATCTCAATCACCTCACTAGGCTCTTGCTCTCCAAAGCACTCTCAAGGGTGTTTCTCAGCTGATCAAATGGGCAAGACACCTCCCTTGGTTGAATACAGGAAGTATTTATACCCCCTCATTCAAAACGAACTGTTAGGAGGTGGTGTCAGCATTCTGCGGGGTGACCGGACGTTCTAGTCAGTTCTCCCCGCCACAGAGCTGTTAAGTTATGACCAGACTCTGACTTGTGTTCGGTCAGCACTGACCGGACGTGTCCGGTCATGAAAACTGCTCTCTGGACCCTTACTGATGTTGACTGGACACCGGCGCCCAGAGTCCGGTCACTTTGCTGTTCTACGTCCGGTCGGTAACCGGAACCTGACCAGCGTCCGATCAGCACTGACCGGACGTGTCCGATCAGGATTCTCCCTCTCTAGAACCTTACTTGAGTTGACCGGACTCTGGCACCCAGCGTCCGGTCACATTTCACTCAGTGTCCAGTCACAATCAGACTACTCCTTGATCAAATGAACTAACCGGACTCTACTGCCAGCGTCCGGTCACAACCGGATCAGCGTTCGGTCAACATTTGACCCTCCATTCACTTCCAACTCAAAATCATATATGAATGAAGTTTGCTCCTATTGATCTAAGGGCTACTCCGGAGCTATGTAGTGCTAGATTTGACAAGTGTACACCATACCTAACCCACTAGACTCACCTAGGTCAAGCTACTAGTTCATACCCCCCTTAATAGTACGGCCAAAGGAAAAAACAAGTCCTAAACTACTCTAAGTGTCTCTTCAACACCAAACGACACTTAGAACTAGTCCATCCTTAACCTTGTCGTCGATCCTTTAAAAACCAAAACGATTTCCATCGTAGGGGCATGACAACCATGATTGCCCAATCAATTGCCATTACCATGACCTAACTTAATTAGTTCTGCAAAACACACGTTAGTCATAGTAATC